GGAGCCCTCCTATTCCTTGATTTTTCCTGTCCAGAGTCATGACACTCTTCTGATTTCTGATATTTTGGCTTTTCCCTGGATTCTGTGAACTTCCTCCATGCTTCCACTCACTTCCCTTTGGCTAAGTCAGCTGGAGTTGGTTTCTGTTGCTTGCAATACAACTCAGGTAATATAACACAAAACTGAAAAGTCCAAAGAAGGCTGAAAAAGTAGTAGCTTGGTTTAATCTGGACTTGGATTTGGGAGACCTGGTTCCCAGTCCTAGCTCCACTGTTTGTTGGTTTTGTTTTGAGATAAGAGTCTCGCTCTGCAGCCCAGGCTGGAGTACACTGGTGCAATCTCAGCTCACTGCAGCCTCTGCCTCCCAAGTTCAAGCAATTCTCCTGCCTCAGCCTCCTAAGGAGCTGGGACTGCAGGCCCATGCCACCACACCTGGCTAATTTTTGTATTTTCAGTAGAGAAGGGGTTTCACCATGTTGGCTAGGATGGTCTCGATCTCCTGACCTCGTGATCTGCCTGCCTTGGCCTCCCGAAGTGCTAGGATTACAGGAGTGAGCCACCATGCCTGGCCTCCACTGTTTACTTAGCTGAATGACTCTGAGTCTAAGGAAGTCATTGCTGAGCATAAGTTTTCTCTTCTTTAAAATGTTCCATAAATATTTCTTGAATGCCTTATGTGACAGCTGAAGGCAATCAAATAGAGTTTCATATATTCTGAAAGAGATATTTATGTCCCATAGAAATGTTTAAAGAATAACATGAAATAAAGTTCATTAAAACATTTGATCAGATATAAGGTATTATCTAAATAAAACCTTTCTTTCTGAGTATCTTAAAAAGTACTTATGGCCCCCACCCAAAGATAAGCTCTTATTCTTTTCACAGATAATTTACATGTTGGATCTAATGTGGTTATCTTGCTGCTGCTTACGAAGTACAAACAATCATTCCTAAGGTTTTCCTGGCTATACTGAAAATATGCAATTAAAAATCTCCTCTTAGGCAAAACATAGTATTTTCCTGGAGCCAGTTCCGAAATCTAGAGTACTTCTCTGTATTAATTTTCTAATAATTCTTATATAATTATGTGTACACAGAAATCTAACACTCTCCTTCTGTGTGATGCTATGAGGCTCTTATTTTGATATTAGGGCACAAGGACCGACTTTTGGCAGAGTGACTTGGGGACATAATTAACAGCTGACATACACTCTGCTTCTGGGACTCTTGATTTCTCTTGCTGAGCAATAATGACCTATATGCAAAGCTGGGTTTGCTCTATTCTTAAATATCTGAAAATATCCGAGTCAACAGAAAAGGTGCAAACGGATTACAGGTCACTAGCCTGGGTTTTAAAAAGAGAAGCAAGCCAGGTGCAGTGGCTCATACCTGAAATCCTAGTTAACTTGAGAGGCCAAGGCAGGAAAAAGCCAGGAGTTAGAGACCAGCCTGGACAACACAGTGAGACCCCCATCTCTACAAAAATGTTTTTAAAATTAGCCAGGTGTGGTGGCACACGACTATAGTCCTAACTACTTGGGAAGCTAAGACAGAAGAATCCCTTGAGTCCAAGAATTAGAGGCTACAGTTAGTTATGATCATGCCACTGCACCCCAGCCTAGGCAATAGAGACTCTTTCTCATAAAAACAAACAGAAAAAACAGAAAAATAAAAGAGGCAAATAATTTGAGATGAACAAAATAATAATTCACCCTAGTAGAGAATTTGCTCAAGATTCCAAGCTATCTTGATTAAAGACATGGGTACATTTGCGTGTTTACATACACATGCACACAAACAAAATCAACCATTCAAGTCTCAGGAAAATGCTGCTGTGGACAGTTGTCACAGTTCATGTTTCAGATCCAGATTTGATGTAGGGTTCTACTTCCCTTTACTCCCTCCCCTTTGAAGCTAAAACAACACAGCCCTTGAAGTCATAGAGTTTTTGTTGTAGAAGGATCCTTAAAAGTTATGTGACTGGGTAACTGGCTATCCAGATAACTAAATAATCTGCCAGATGATGTGATATCCCCCACTGTTGATATCTTGTTTGAAGAGAGGCAGGGTTGCACAGTATCTAATGCGCACACTTTGAGGTAGAAACACATCTGGGTTATCCAGGCTCTACCACTTACTAGTAGTCACCTAGGCTAAGTACCTTAACCACACTTTCCTCAATTGTAAATAGGGGGTGGTAATAGTACCAATCTCATAGGGTTGGTGTCATGCTTGAATGAACTAATAAAGTGATATAGTAAGGTCTTAGCATGTAGTAAGTGCTCATACCAAATGTTAGCTAGCACTGACTACTGCTATAATACAGAGGCCCATTCCAAAGTCGAAACAACTGCAACTGTCAGGAAGATCAAAACTGGCTGTCTGCTTCCTCCCTCCCATGAATCCTAGTCTGCCCTACAGAATTTCACCAGTCTCTGAGTTACTGGCAAAAGGGAGGGTGGATGGGGCCATGCATGGCCCACCTGAGTCTCCTTGTTACCAAACATAACATGCCCAGCTTTCACAATGGTTCCTCATGTGGCCTCCATGATCTGTGTGCTCTCCCCTGGATGTGCTCCTGCCTGCCAGGGCCCCTTTAAATGTGGCACATGCTTTGTCTTTTTAGTATAAGGCCACTGTGTTGACTATTTGGGCAGAAATCACTTAACTCAGCCTTAAAGCGTCGTTAATTAAACTACAGAGGCTAGTGTCAAGAGTTTGCCAATGAGCAGTCAGCCAGCCTCTTGTCAGCTGTGTAACCTCTGGCATCTTAGCTTCCTTGCCTGTAAAATAAAGGGGATAACAGTACCTACTTCACTGGGTTAACTGTAATTCAATGAGCTAAGACTTCTACTCCTATTCTTCCTTGATCCCCTTCCAGACTGTTTTTTTTTTTTTTTTTGGAGACAGAGTCCCACCTCAACCACTCAGGCAGGAGAGCAGTGGTGCAATCTTGGCTCACTGCAACCACCTTCTCCTAGATTGAAGTGATTCTTCTGTCTCAGCCTCCAGAGTAGCTGGGATTACAGGCACCTGCCATCATGCCCAGCTAATTTTTGTCTTTTAGTAGAGATGGGGTTTTACCACGTTGGCCAGGCTGGTCTTGAACTCCTGACCTCAGGTGATCCACCTGCCTTGGCCTCCCAAAGTGCTAGGATTACAGACGTGAGCCACTACGCCTGACACAGTCTGGTTTTAATGCAAACAAATCCACTGAAACCATTCTCATCAAGGTTACTGACCATCATCATACAGTCAAATCCAATGGTCAAGTTGGCCTGCGTCTTTCTTGACCACTTAGCAACACTTGTCTTATCCAATCATGCCTTCTTTCTCCAAACATCTTCTTCACGCATCTTAGAGGACACTCCCTCACCTGACTTTCACACTACTTCTCTGGCTACTCCGTCATAATCTCCATTGCTGGATCCTCCTCCTCATCTCAACTTCAACTTCTAGATGCTGGAGTTTCTCATGTCAGTCTCTTTCAGATCCATACTCACTCCCCCTACATAGTCTCACCCAGCATAATATAATGGATAGGAACATGGACTGTGGAGCCAAGCTGCCCTCCTAGGTGAGTTCCTATACTTTTAAGGTGTGTTATACAGGCCAGTGACTTAACCGCACTGTGCCTCAGTTTCTGCACCCATAAAGTGGGGGTAACTTCATATAGTTGTTCTAAGGATTAAATTAGTTCGTACAGGTCAAGTACTTAGAATGTGGTAAGGATTTTATGTGTTAACTAGTGCCCAGTTCCATGGCTTTATATATCACACATATACTGACGATTCCCAAATGTATATACAGTTTCCATTATTCCTCTAAACTTGTCATTCGTATCTAAATGCCTGCCTGACATCTCCACATGGACGTCAAATACAATCTCAAAGTTCGTATTACCAAAATTGAACTCTTGATTCCATGTCATCTCCCAACCTTCTTTCCCCTAGCCTCCCCAGTCTCAAACTGTATCACCATCCACCTAGTTGTACAGGCCAAAAACCTTGGAATCATCCTCCACTATTTTCTCCCTCAACCAACTTTCAGCAAATACTACTCCACCTATCCAGAATCTGGTCTCTTCTCACTCCTTCCACTACTACCAGTTGAAACAAGCCACCATCACTTCATGCCTGAGCAACTGCAATGCCACCTAATTGGTATCTCTGTTTCCCTTTGTTCCCACACAATCTATTGTGTAGCCAGGAACAAGAGTATTCTTCAAAAATGAAAATCAGATATTGCTCCCCTGATTAAAACTCTCTGATGACTTTCTACCACATGTGGAATGAAATCCAAACTCCTCTCATTTACCAACAAACAATGCTCCATGTGACCTGCCTTTATCTACTCTCAGCCTCATCTCTTACCACTCTCCCCTCATCTACTCCAGTCCAGTTGCAATGTCTGCCCTGTGTTTGTCAAACTCATAAGCAAGTTTCTGCTTCAGGGTCTTTGTACTTGTAGACCCTCAGGCTAGAGCATTTTTTCCCCATTTTTACATGCCCTTTTCTCATTTCTTTGCAAACGTTACTCAAACATTACTTATTATAGAGACCTTCCCAGTCCATCACATCTAAAAACAACCTGTCCTCACTTCTGACCCATTATTGGATCTTTATTCTATTTTTCTTCATGGCACTTAATAATACACCTGACAATACATGTTTGTTTGTCTTGCCTGCTAGAATGTAAGCTCCCGGGGGACTGCAACTGTATTCCATTTTGTTCGCTGCAGAATCCACTGAACTTAAGTGGTGTCTGAAACACAGGAGGCACTCAATAAATAGATCTTGAATGAATGAAGAAATGAATAGTGCTTAGCATAGTTCCTGGACAGAATAAACAACTGTAAGTTTGTGATATCAACTTTTTGAAGGTTAAAAAAAAATGTTTAATAGAAAGGCCAAAATTCTTTATACTACATATGTTGTCCAAAGTTAAAACATCACATTTTAACCTAATTTCAATATAAATACATGTTGTATTATACTTACTTGGAGTTTCTTCCAGAATTTCCTGGAACTTGGTCCTCTCATATTCCACCAACTGGCGTTGAAGGTGTGGTCTAAGACTCATAATTGTAAAATTGGCCATGTCCATTTTCATGAGGTCCAGGACATGGAATATTTGTCTACAAATTTTAGAATTAAAATAGAGATATGGTTAAGAAGTTAAGCTGAAATCCATTAACAATGATCTATGTTCCAGTCTGAAAACAATAAACATCCTCAAAATGGTTTTGAAGTTCCAGCTGCTATTTGGTAGGGTCATGTTTCATAGAAGGTCACATGTGTGTATTGCAAATGTGTTCTTCCACAGATCTCAAGAGTATTTACTGGAAGTATAAACAATCTTAATGATATAAGAAAAATTCAAGAAGGAATTTTTTTTTTTTTTTTTGAGATGGAGTTTCGCTCTTGTTACCCAGGCTGGAGTGCAATGGCGTGATCTCGGCTCACCGCAACCTCCACCTCCTGAGTTCAAGCAATTCTCCCGCCTCAGCCTCCCGAGTAGCTAGGACTACAGGCATGTGCCACCATGCCCAGCTAATTTTTGTATTTTTAGTAGAGACGGGGTTTCACCTTGTTGACCAGGATGGTCTTGATCTCTTGACCTCGTGATTCACCCGCCTTGGCCTCCCAAAGTGCTGGGATTATAGGTGTGAGCCACCGCGCCCAGCCTCAAGAAGGAATTTTCATTTGAAAACCCCTGAAAGTTTAAATAGCCTGGACACAGGGCATATGGCTTCTATTCCTTAGGGAATAAGAAAAATTAAAAAAGAAAGGACAATGCAGTAAGACACTGAGGAAAATATTTCCTTTTAGAGTTAGGCAGCCTCGTGCTCAAACCCAGCTTTGCAACTGGCCAGATTTGTGCATGTACACAGTTAATCAGTCTCTCTGAGCCCCAGTTTCCTCATCCATGAAAGAGGACAACCTAAACTTTGGAGGGATGCTATGAACAGTCAATGAGATAATGATCGTAAAGCGCAGAGGGCAGTGGCACCCAGTAGGTGCTCAACAAATGACCACGATGAACACCACAGATCTGAGATCTTACTAAAGTAATAAGACAATTAAGAGGCAAGGATCCCATAACTGAGGAATCACAATCTGTCAGAGCCAAGCACAACTCTAAGGATACCTAACATGCATCTGACAGACAGAGTGTGTCACTTTGAGAGTCTGTCAACCTGCCTAAGGTCACAAAGTAAATTACCCACTACAGGCAGACTGGTGTTTCGCCTAACTTTCCAAAACAATAACATAAAACTCGATTCTCAATGTGGCCACCACACACAAAAAAGAAGAAAAATCCACTTCAATGGCAAAAAGTGTTACAGACTCTTCTTTCCTCTTGTATCACAAGGAAGTTTTCGTCTTCGGGGCCAGATGAGATCCTCAAATAATTTGCACCCCACTTCCTCAGGGAAGCTCCAGCAGATGCTCCCTCCCTGCAGTGCAGATCTGTGGCTGTGAAAAGTGTTTCCAGGTAGTAACTACCTTTCTCAGCTCCCCTTTCAATCTAGGTGGGATCATGTGACTAGTCGTGGTCAAAGGGAATGTGTCACTTCTGGGCTGAGGTGGCTATATATTGCATGTCTTCCCATGGTCTCTTTCCCATTTGCCAGCTGAATGGAGAGGACTCTCAGGACCTGAGCAAGGGTGGAGCCAGGCACAAAAGGAGGTTGGGTCCCTGGATGACATGTGGACAGCTGCCTGATCAAGAACCCCTGAATTGGACTGTAACATGAGTAAGAAACAAACTTTATTGGATAAACCACTGAGAATTTAGAGTTTACATGTTATAGCAGCTAGTGACCCTAACTAATAAAGAAGTCACAACTAGATTAGGTACCTTGTCAGAGGCTCTGTTAAGACCCTTTACTTCCCCTTCCACTTATCCGAACTGTGATTAATTGTTCAAGGTCTTTCTCACCATTAGACTCCCTGGAGTCAAAGATTATATCTTTCTTTTTCATCACTGCATTTCCAGGGCCCACTACATGCCAACTAACAACCTTGCCAGATCATTCTATGTGAAAACTCTCTGCATACGGGTAAATAATCGACATGCTCTCTGTTTATCTGGTTTTCTTCTAGGGTCAGTAATTTATTAGGGGTTCTAGTTGTTATTATGTGTTCCCCAATGCCCAATTTCCCTTCTGAATGAACTCAAAGGTACTCTAAGAAAATGCAAACATCAAAATGCTAACCTCAGCACCTCCACAATGTTGCCAGTAGCCTTTAACTCTCTGATATCGTTATCTCGCACAGGAGCACATAGCTTTCCCATCGTACTGATGACATAGTTGGCCAGGCCTTGGATATCAACAGCACTGTGCTCGGCCTGCTGCCTAATGAGGTCTGTGTCCAAAACTTCGCAGATCTGGTTGTGAAGCCGGTTGCCACCAGGAGTCAGAAAAGAGAGAAGAATCTACAGGGAAAGAAAAATTAACAGCATCATGACGTGAATAAAAGCTGTCACTTTTCACTTCAGTGTCTAGATGACCAAGCTCTCTGCCCATATTTTAGTGCCTCATTTGCCACGGAAGTTGACACTGACTATGTGGTGGATCGGAGGAGCATTCCAGTGTCTCAACCCTAAAAAGAAAGGTCTATCTTCTGAATTAAAGTGCCCCCACCATGGGAAATTCCTGCTCCTGTCAGAATAAAAACAACTAGCAAGGAGACAAGATTACCAAAAACACAGTAAGTCCTCACTTAACATTGCTGACAGGTTCCTGGGAATTGCAACTTTAAGTGAAATGCTATATAATGAAACCAATTTTACCACAGACTAATTGATATAAATATCGGTTAAGTTTCTGTGATATATTTCGGGTCACAAAAAATACCAACAAACTTCTAAATAAAGATCCCAAACACTTCTAATATTAAACACTGAGATAAATGTGAGCTATACATACAAGAAAAATTAATTTAAAAATAAGATAATTATTTACCCAATTTTTGGTAAATCAGTGAGTGACAGCTGCCACGGTGGTGCGTTAAATCAGGGAAGAAACATTTGCAAACAAAAACTGTTAAGGAACACCTCCTCCATCACACAGTTCAAAACTAAATAACAATTATAGTAGGCTCACGGAGCACTTTCATATTACATTGTTTATTGTCATGCATCTGTATGATTATCGAATACTTTATGAATTTTTATGTTAACAATAATTTGTATTTATTCATTTTCCAACCTGCTTACTCCGGTTCCGGGTTGCAAGTGGCCAGAGCCTTCCCTGGCAGCTCAGGGCACAGGGCAGAAACCAGCCCTGGACAGGATGCCTCCCATCACAGGATGCACTCACGCACATACCCACACTCACTCAAACTGAGACCATTTAGACTTGTCAATGAACTTAACAGGTATATCTTTGGGATATGGGCCAAAGAAAAACTATGCAGACATGGGGAGATCATGCACCCTCCACAAAGATGGCAGCCCCAGCTAGGAATCTTTTTTCTTATCGATGTTATAAAGAAAATACACTAAATAATACGCAACATCTGAAACAAAATGAACATTTTGTTTAAAAAAATCTAGAGGTAAAATTTCAGGGAAGAAAGAACAAGTTGCAGATCATGGCTCCAAAAGAACTCTTTTAAAAAGGATAGATGAGGCTGGGTGTGGTGGCTCACGCCTGTAATCCCAGCACTTTGGCAGGCCGAGGTGGGTGGATCACGAGGTCAGGAGATCGAGACCATCCTGGCCAACATGGTGAAATGTTGTCTCTACTAAAAATACAAAAATTAGCTGGGCAGGGTGGCACACACCTGTAGTCCCAGCTACTCGGGAGGCTGAGGCAGAAGAATCACTTGAACCCAGAAGGCAGAGGTTGCAGTGAGCCAAGATCATGCCACTGCACTCCATCCTGGGCAACAGAGCGAGACCCCATCTCAAAAAAAAAAGCATAGATGAAAATATCCCATGGGGTCCTTAAGTATATTTTACGTATATAATATTTATTATATATGAGCAACCTACATTTTGATTATTCAGTTAACAGAGGACACTGTGCTTATCCACACAACACATGCTTAGGAGCATGCACTCTGAGCCAGCGTGGCTCAGTTCAAGTCCCTCTCTACCCCTCAAAGCTGTGTGACTCTGCATGAGTCAGAAAAGTTGTTTTTTTAATATATAAAATAAGGATAACAGGAGCAACTACTGCACAGCGTTCTGATAAGAAGAAATGAGCAATCTAGTGCTCGGAATAGAGCAAGTACCTTGCAAATGTTAACTAAAATTACAACTGTCACCTCATTTAGCTCTTATGACTACCCTGTAAGTACTCAGGAAACGGAGACTTAAAGAGAGAACTCATCACTAAACCAGGACAACAATCTAACTCCAGAGTCTCTGTGTTGTAAGCATCACCCTAAGTTGTGTCCATTGCACTATTTTCCCAGCCTTCAGTCTACTCCAGGAGGTGCAGGATGAGGCAAACCCTGCCAGTGAACTTGCTCCTTTTTTGAAAAAGAGTGGCCAATGCTAAAGGACATAAAACAATCTTTGGGGGAAAAAACTGCTATACTTTTAATATCTGTGTTTTCGTCTGTCCCCAAATTCATATGTTGAAACCCAATCCCCAATGGAATGGTATTAGGAGGTGAGGCCTTTTGGGAGGTGATTAAGTCATAAGGGTGAGGTCCACATGAATGGAATTGTACCCTTATAAAGAGACACTAAAGCGCTGCTTTGACCTTTCTGTCATGTGAGGACACAGCAAGAAGGCACCACCTATCAATCAGGAAATGAGCCCTCAGCAGATGCCAAATCTGCTGGTGCTCTGATCTTGGACTTCCCAGCCTCCAGTACTGTGAGAAATAAATTTCTATTGTTCATAAGCCACCCAGGCTATGCCAGTCTGTTATAGCATCCCACCTGGAGTAAGACACTAACGGACGCAAACAACACAGCAACTTGCCTCTCTGATTTCTTCAAACAGTTTGATGGCATGTTCAAACTCGGGAGGGTCGGCATTTAGTTCTGAAGCCAAGACGTCCCAGAAGGCCTGGTGAACAATGTGCTTCACTCGACCAGCCAAACTATAGCAACGAAAGGGATTGTTGTTTAAAATAAGCATCATTTTTTTTCCTGATTATAAAAGAAATATCCTCACTGTAGAAACCTTAGAAAATATTTTTAAAAAACAGAGCAATTGTCCTTAATCCCATTATTAATCTTTCGAATATGTTTCTTGTTGAATGCATTAAGAGTTGAGAATATATATACAAAATATGTACTTTTCATTTAACATTCTGTCCTGTTTTCCCTAGACCTTGAAAATGCTTTCAATAACTTCATAAAATTCTATCCTAAAGAGATTTCAAAATTTATGTAGCTACTCTTCTATATAGATCTTTAGATTTGTTCTACATTTTTGGAATGAGATGGCAAAGTTTCTCTTCCTCGCCAGCTGAAATTTCATGGCATGGAATAGAACAGATTGGCCCCAAGGGCACATGCATCTGAACGCCTGCCAACTAAAGCTTAGGTGTCCCATTTAAAGTTAGCCAGACCAAACTGCCGAAATAGAAGCCTTCCTAGGAAGAGCTCACAATAGAATAAGTGGCCACTTGGCTTCACCCTTTATGTCAATGCCTTAAAATAGGTGCACATTAAAATACACATTCCTACCTAACTCCTATACCATTTAGCAACAGCTTTTAGGAAACCACATATGTCTCTGCACTGTAATTACTGATGAAGCTGTTTTCCCACAGAGATATACCTTTCCCAAGCAGAGGCCGTAAGTCCATCTAGGTACTTACCATTGTGCCTAGCACAGTGCCTGATATATAGTGAGTACTTGACAAATGGGTGGTGAATGAATTCGTAATTTGGTAAGTATAACTCCTCATTTTTCTTCTTAAAGTACAAATAGCTATATATAGAATAATGCTATGAAAGATGAAAATTAGCTTTTGAAACATGAGTTAAAGTTTGTAACTACAAATATTATATTCTACTCTGCAACTTTAAATATTAAAACTTATTCTAATTGCATGAGGAAATTTGTTCAATATAAATGCCATTTCCAAAGTTTGAGACTCTCCAGTACGAGAAAGGCAAACATTGCTAGGATGGACTTTTGCTCTTGTATAAGCCATACATACCTGGCTTGAATGAACCAACAAGAAATGAGCTAAAACATTTTTATAGGTCCCTAAGGGATGTCAGAGTTGAAATTTAAGTTTTCCTAAAGGCTGCAAGGTACTTTTTATCTCTTTAATTTTCTGAGAAAGTATGGGGGCAGGGAGGGAGAGGATCAACCAAATCATTTATAAGCATTCCTATTATTTCCTGGTAAAATCTATCAGGTTTTTGATAATATTTGATAAAATATGAGAGTTAGCCATAATCAAAAAAGGAAAAACGTGGCCATTGTGGAGGGTCATAGGAAAATCAACAGTTGATACTGTGATATGAGACTTTATTTATTTATTTATTTATTTTGAGACAGGGTCTTGCTCTGTTGCCCAGGATGGAATACAGCAACAGAATCTCAGCTTACTGCAGACTCTCCCTCCTGGGTCCAAGTGATTCTCATGCCTCAGCCTCCCAAGCAGATGGGATTAAAGGTACAGGCCACCACACCCAGCTAATTTTTGTATTTTTATTACAGACAGAGTTTCACCATGTTGGGGAGGCTGGTCTTGAACTCCTGACCTCAGGTCATCCACCCACTTCAGCCTCCCAAAGTGCTGGGATTACAGGTGTAAGCCACTGTGTCTGGCTGAGACTTTGTTTTTAAACAACGGCAATGTGTCCTAACTCTGCACTTTGTTTCCCTTGATCACATTTTTGAGGTATGGCAGAAACTGAAGGGAAGAGAGATCAATATTTTCCATAGTATCAAAGTATTTTTGTGCAAGGCACTTTTATGCTAGTGAGCATGCATTTGAAGTGAGTAGTGTAGCCCCTATCTTATTCTTGGGAAGTGTGAAGTTCAGGTATGGCCTCAGCAAAGTCAGGATTCAAACCCCAGGGTCTGTCTGAGCCTAAAGCACCTTCACTATGGCCTGTATTTACCACTTTTGAATTTAAAGTACAGATATGCCCTGTCTTTTGTTTTACTTCATAAAAAATACAAATTTTAACTTTAAAAATTCATTTATTAGTCAATAAATGTTTATTGAACATCCAATATGTGTGGGGCCCTGTTTTAGGAACGGCAGATACTGCAGTGAAAAGACTGCTTGTATGTAAGCATGGATAAAAAGGCAAACACATTAAAAATGAATGACAATTTTAGACCTACGAGAAAGACAGTAAGACAATGTGGTGGACAGTTACGGAGAGGGTGTTGATTTAACTGGATGCAACCATCTTAAGGCCTCTTTAAGTCAGTGACCTTTGTGTTCAGATTTGAAAGGAGAGAGGGAAAAAGCCACGTGAAGGTCTGGGAAAAGAAATTCAAAAAGAAGAAGTGGGTTGGGCACAGTGGCTCACTCCTGTAATCCCAGCACTTTGGAAGGCCAAGGCAGGCGGATCACAAGGTCAGGAGTTTTAGACCAGCCTGTCCAATATGGTGAAACCCTGTCTCTACTAAAACATACAAAGATTAGCCAGGCATGGTGACGCATACCTGTAGTCCCTGCTATTCGGAGGCTGAGGCAAGAAAATCACTTGAAACCAGGAGGTGGGGGTTTTAGTGAGCCAAGATGGCGCCACTGCACTCCAGCCTGGGCGACAGAGGGAGACTCCGTCTCAAAAGTCACATGAACAAAGTTTCTGAGACAAGATCCAGGTTGGTGAACCCTGAGGTCAGGAAGGAAGCCAGCGTGGCTGAAGCAGAGCAAAGCTGGAGGGACAGCACTGAGACAGGTTCAGGGGAGTGGGGTCATCCAGGCCATATGGAAACATTTCCATTTTTAGTCTCTGAGTAATAGAAAACCATTGAAGGGTTTTGGCAAAGAAATAATCTAATATAGCTTATTCTTTAAAAAGATCATTAAAGCTACTGTATGGATATGGAAAATGAACTGTGGGGTGCTAAGAATGGAGACAGGGCTACTAGTTAGGACTGAAAGAGTCCAGGCCAGAGATGACGGTGGCCTAGCCTAGGGTTGTAGCAGTAGACCTGGTAACAAGGGTCATGGTGAAATGCAGTTACCAAAGGAAACCAAACAGATATACCCACAATAGATGGCAAGCTTAAAAAATGTTAATATTATATGAACAACATCCCCTGGAGGACTACAACCCACATTTTAAAAAAGAAAGATTATTACATTTACTTACTTTACTTTTTCTGCTTTAAAACAAGTGAAAAGGCCTGGCGCGGTGGCTCAAGCCTGTAATCCCAGCACTTTGGGAGGCCGAGGCGGGTGGATCACGAGGTCAAGAGATCGAGACCATCCTGGTCAACATGGTGAAACCCCGTCTCTACTAAAAATACAAAAAATTAGCTGGGCATGGTGGCGCGTGCCTGTAATCCTAGCTGCTCAGGAGGCTGAGGCAGGAGAATTGCCTGAGCCCAGGAGGCGGAGGTTGCGGTGAGCTGAGATTGCGCCATTGCACTCCAGCCTGGGTAACAAGAGTGAAACTCTGTCTCAAAAAAAAAAACAAAACGAAAAAAACAAACAAAAAAAACAAGTGAAAAAAGTTCTAAACAGTATCGAATATTGTATGTTGCCTTAACTGATAGAATGCATCAGGATTTATAACTGGTAATGTGAGGCTGAATATGCAATCCATAAACCAACTTTGCTTCTAAAGATGATTGATCTGTAATAGTCCCATGCCTCTTCTCCTCTTTGTCCCAGGAAACCTGTGAGCCACTGACTCCAGAAAGGCTGAAGTAGGATCCAAAGGAGTGACTCCAACTAGAGGTTGAAGGGTGAGATTTACCCAGGAAGCGCCCCTTGCAGCTGTGATTCCTACTTCCAGACATTTCTGGATTGCCTACTTTTAGCACTTTGACAGTTCGAATGCATTTATTTATTCTTTATACCTGAATATCAGTTTTCAATAAATCAATCTGCAAATATTTCTTGAGCCTGTACTGCATGTCAGGGACTATGCTAGACAACAGGGATACAGCAACAAACGATACAGACACAGCTCCTCCATAAATGGTGCATTTCAATCAAGTGAGGAAGATGGACATCCAACATAAAACTATAAGACCTCTTAGCAAAAGGGAGCCAGCAAGGCGACAGGCGTCTCTAGCAAAGGGATTAATTGTAGTCTGGGGGTTCAGGAATGTCAGAAAAAGCTTCCTCAGGAGGTGACATATAAACTGAGTTCTAAAGATAATGGGTAATATGTATCCTAGGATTTTTTTTTTAAGACGGAGTCTCACTCTGTCACCCAGGCTGGAGTCCAGTGGCATGATCTTGGCTCACTGAAACCTCCACCTCCTGGGTTCAAGCAATTCTCTTGCCTCAGCCTCCCAAGTAGCTGGGATTACAGGCACCCTGCCACCACGCCAGCTAATTTTTGTATTTTTTAATAGAGATGGGGTTTCACCAAGTTGGCCAGGCTGGTTACAAATGGGAATTTCTGTTTTTTGAGACAGTCTTGCTCTGTCACCCAGGCTGGAGTGCAGTGGCATGATGAGAGCTCAATGAAGTCCCCAACCTCCTGGGCTCAAATGATCTTTTTGACTCAGTCTCCCAGGTGGCTGTAATTACAAGCTCATGCCACCATGCCAGATAACATTTTTTTTTTTTTTTTGTAGGGATGGTGTCTTGCTTTGGTGCCCAGGCCAGTCTCAAACTCCTGGCTTTAAGCAATCCTCCTGCCTCCACCTCTCAAAGTGCTGGGGTTACAGGTGTGAGCTACCATGCCCAGCCAGAATTTTTTTTTAAAGACAGAGTCTTGCATTTGTCACCCAGGCTGGAGTGAAATGGTGCCATTTCAGCTCACTGCAATCTCTGTCCCCTGGGTTCAAGGGATTCTCCTGCCTCAGCCTCCTGAGGAGTTGGGATTACAGGTGCCCGCCATCACACCCGGCTAATTTTTGTATTTTTAGTAGAGAAGGGGTTTTACTATGTTGGCCAGGCTGGTCTCTCGACCTCCTGACTTCAGGTGATCCACCCGACTCAGCCTCCCAAAGTGCTGGGATTATAGGCATGGGCCACAGCGCCTGGCCCAGAATTTTTTAAAAATAAGTATAAGACCTTGTTAGAGAACTAAATGTTTACCCCTGAGAATATTATATAAGAACTTTCAGAAATCAGTTTGAGTATGTGTATATTCATCACACACACACACACACACACACACACACACACACACACACACACACAATCTTCAGCACAGTTTATATACAAAAAATGCCCCCAGGTTACCTGTTTTCTGGGAGGGCCTCCTGTTTCAATTGAAAGTTCTCATTTACTGCAATCTCGTGAGCAAGAGTCATGTTTGATAAGTTCCTTGCTGCAGCCATCACTTCATCAAATGTTACAACCCTTGGAGGGCTTGTTGCTGAAAGAAAAACAAAAGTCAGCTGATGTGGGAGAGAAGCTGTCATCCAACAAAGCATCCTGATGCAGAAAAAGTTTACTTTATCAGCATGTATATACTTCAGAGTTTTATAAGTAAGGAGACTAAATGCTAAATACTAAAATAATGCTAAATACTAAAACAGGTGAATTCCCCCACTAAATAAAGGTTTCAAAAATTTAAGAACTCCTTCAATAGCTTCAGTTACCATATTTGATAATATTGTCTCAAATATTTCTGAGACTATCTTATTGATACAGCCTGTTCTAGTTACTTTTAAAAATTAAATTACCTCATTTTTAGTGCCCATTGAAATCTGCACTTATTACATGTATAGGAAATTGATAAGATTATTTTTTATTTTGTAATTCAGAAGTCTCATTAAGTAGACTCAACCTAAAATAACTGATTTTTAAAACTGTAATATTTATTTATTTATTTATTTGAAATGGAGTCTCGCTCTGTCACCAGGTTGCTCAGGAGGCTGAGGCAGGAGAATAACGAACTTTGGAGGTGGAGGTTGCAGTGAGCAGAGATGGCACCACCGCACTCCAGCCTGGCGACACAGCAAGACTCTGTCTCGAAAAAAAAAAAAAAAAAAAAAAGAAGAGGAGGAGTAGGATGAGGAATAGGGAAAGAGGAGGAAGAAGAGAAAGGTGCTACACAGAATTGGTAAAACCCTTCTTCAGGATGTCTAGGTACCCTAATGTCAGATGTGCCAACCCCCTATACAGTATAAAGAGTGAGAAAAGGCACAGAAACCTGAGGTGGCTGCTTTCAATTTCTTTTGCCAGCTCTGACTCAAGATTCTCCTTAAAACTGTCTATATACTTTGGTCCAATAATCCAGTGATATCCAAAAGACTTTCCAGAAAGGCTTCACACACTAAGATGTTCATAAAGCACTATTTATAACAGCAAAAAAAATGGAAACTAACTAAATGTCCAACGATCACTCAATGGTTAAGTTTACAGTATATTCACTTGACGAAGTAATGGGTATTCATAAAAACAATGTTTCAAAAACACATAATCATGAGTAAATGTTTTAGTTATAATACTAAGTGAGAAGAGTCTACATATATATACACACATATGTCTATGTGAAGGATAAAGATACGGCAAAGCACTGCCAGCTGTCGTCTCTGGGTGATATCATAGGCAATGTTTTCTTTTCTCTATTCTTATGTATCTTCTAAGTCTTAAAAAATGAAAATGTTAAAATTTAAAATACAAATGAAGCAATTTATAAGAAGTGGACAGTTCAGCATATTAAATATCAGTTGCTTTTTCTTGTATTTGCTTTGTCAGTTAAAGGTGTTATATTTACTAAAGTGCCAATTAAAAAAAAAAGGCAAACACATCTGCTTGACGGATCTCTAGTTTCTACACACAAAAAAGGGAAAAAGATACCTCCTTTTGCTGTGGCCTCTCTTTTAACTCTTTCTCACACCCCTAATGTGGTAATTATCCTCGTGGGCACCTTCCTGGGGTGATTTGCACAATATTTTTGAAATCAACATGAAACCCTTTACATTATTTCACTTCCTTCCTGACCTTTCAATGAAGGCCAGTTTCTTTCAGTGTAAGTCTGGAATCATCAGAAATGACCAATTTGCATTTATCCTTGAGCAGGGATCTAAGAAATAATCTCAAGGAATGGCCTTCTGCCATTTGGGAGAAAAGACAGATGGGGTTGAAGCCCTGATTTATGGTCAGACCAAAGCAGATCAGAGGCAGTGATCAAAATAAAAGTCAGTAGGTTGTAAACCTGAGTGGCTATTTATTTCTGAGAATGTGTCCAGGAAAGCTGCAGTGCTTCTACAGTGCTATTCTGGTGCATCTAGAAAAAAGGGAAAGTCTGTTGCTCTCAGGCATTTCTGAGTTTTCAAATCCAACACATAACTAAAAGTAACCCCCGCCACCCCCAACCCCTGTTCCCCCATTGGCTCACAAGCAGGAGAGCTGGATTTGCTGGAGGAGTCACTTGTAAAGCTCTGCCTAGAGCACTCATAGTCACTGAGCGATGCCATGCTTTCAGAAAACCGGGAAGAATCAGAATCGCTTGGCTGGTCCTCTCCCACACACTGCTTCTCACCATTGAAGGGCATTTTGTGTCACTTAAGGGTGGGCAAAAAAGTAGCACCTGCACAGAGAAACAGACCCTGTGTCAATGTTCTGTGGTACTTCCACAGGTAGCACCGATGTTTCCTCCAGTGTAGACAGCTGTCCCAAGTGTCACTGTGTTGGAAAGGCCCCCAGATGACCTCACCCTTTCCCCAGCACCTTGGCCCAACTAAGCCAGGTCACTAGGTCATTAAGATTGCCTTCTTGAAAAGGGATTCCACAGCCATAGGTGTGAGCTTACTCAGGACACACCCACTATAAATGTGAAGCTCTAAGCAATGACAGATCCTTTTTTAAAAAAAATGCAGGACATATGCTCTCTCCTCCCGGGTTGCTGAGACAAAAGAAGGCAGGAGTGTGGGACTTGGTCAGATCACTCATTTTGTCTTTTGCCATGAGACCTTGGGGAGGTCACTTAACCACCTACCTCATAGTGAAACTGGACTGAAAGACTAATCTCTCATAGCGTTGCCAGAAGATTGAATAGAAGAGAATCCATCTTAAGGAGCTTGGCGCCGCACTCAAATGTTAGCTGCTATTATTGTTCCTACTGCTTTGTTTCAGATAAAATAGTTGTGAAATCACCCTCTTTATGCTTTCTGTGAACTTCTTGGGTAAAGGGGATGACTTTATGAAACCTCTGGCTGGCAAGTCTTTAGCTTTTTCCTCTCCATTTTCACATGAACTGCTGTGATATGAAGAATAAGACCTGATACATGGTTAGCATTTGACAATTTACAAAGTACCCATCACAACCCCATGAAGGCACAAGCATGTAGGCTCCTGACTCACAAGTGGGGGAACAGACTCAGAGGGATAAGGGGATTTACTACACGATAAAACCAGTCCCTTGGTGTCTATGTCCAGTGTTTCTGGGACATCAGAGTTCCTCCCAGGGTAAGGCCATCAAGTTTGGCCACTACTCAGAAAGCAGATCACAGGCACATAAGATGACCAGGCCTTGGGCCCGGGAGCTGACCCTGGTGACACCAAAGGAGAAACCTAGGCCCAAGGAGAAAGGCACCTCAAATCCTGGATGGACGATAAGAAGAGGAAGGGTTTACTGAGTGCTTTTAAACCTGAACCAGCCCATGCAATGAGGGATGCAGTGGCTTTTAAAGCTGCCAGAATGTGAAACCACAACTATGTATAGTATGTCTGAAAATGCCTTCAGTTTCTTCAATGATTCCATTAACATTCAACAAGTTCCTTCTGAGCACTACATACCAGGGAAAGTCACTGAACAAAGACAAGGCCCTACTCTGGTGGCCCTCAAGTTCAGTTACCTAAAACTGTGTACTGAATGCTATTAGATGGGAAAAGGGAAAATAAGGCATTGTTGAGAAAGCACATGGAGAGGCAGGCTCAGGATTAGAGGAGAGGGAAGCAGGGGATTAGCCTTTGTTGAGAGAAAAAGACGTATCCAAGCAAAAGCCTGTGCTTGAAGCCAACATGCCCATAATTACTCTATTAAAAATTGCCTGTTTCCACATATAGGTTTACCAATAATACCTAATTCATAGAGTTGGTGTGAGATTTCGGGTACTCAATTCATGCAGAGTGTTTGGCACAGTCACTGACACAGTAAACAGTATACAAATGTTTTCTATTATCATTTGCTTTCTTTGTTAATGTCTCAGGAATTTTTTTAAATTCCTTGGGTGGTGAGGGGGAACACGGATGAGTCTAAGAGGGATCTAATAAGGGTCGAAGGCCTAAGATCATTTGCACCTTGTCTCACCTAAACAACTTTCCTCAATCCTGCCACAGAAATGTACCCTTGCTGAGCCTACCACTTTTGCAAGCAGAAAACCACTAGAGTCCACCTCTGCAGGCTGAAGGGCAAGGAGTGGAGTGGAGACACTCACCTTATCCCAGAATCCCAAAGTCACCCAGCATGAACACTGCCTATAAACGAGTCCTGAGCCCTTGCATCCTCAGTGGTGAAACAGCCTCCTCTAACCCATGAACACTAAATTCTACCTGAGTTTAAACTCCAATCTGCTCAGGAGAAGGGGAGAGAAGACAGAAGAAAGGGACTACTTCAAACCTTCCACCGTCACCAAACCCCAAATCCTAAATGGAATGTTCACCTTCCCTTCTAGTTTGTGTCCTCTTTGCCAACATCTGATGTCCCATTGATGGCATTTCTTGAAAATGGTACCTTCTTCAGGAAGCCTTGCTTCCAGCCAAAGTTAACAGCACTCCTTTGGGTATGTCTGCAGCAAATCTCCTACATCTCCATGAAAGCACTTAGTTCCTTGTATATTAGTCCCTTATTATTTTCTTCCCATGGCTACTTCTGAATCTCCTTAATAAGGCAGAGATTGTGTCTTGTCCACGACCAGTGCCAAGTATATGACAAGCATTCATTCAGTGTCAGCTAAATCAGAATCCCTGAATCTCATTTGGTACAGCTTCAACAGAACATTTGCAAGCTGATACCATGACACATTAACCAGCCTGCTACTGCCAAAGCCCAAGCCTTAGAGCAGAGACTCTACTCTTAAGCCTGTCTTATTAGATTTAAACCTCAAAATTCCCAGGTCCTTGTCGTGCTCTTATTTGAATATCTTAACATCTGTTTCTACTTTAAGTTGTTTTTTTCTTTTTCTGGCTATTCCCCTGTAATATAACAACTGTGCTATGCAAGCTCTATTCTTAATTTTTCTCTACTGCACTTCCCTCAAATGAGCTCTGGCTGTTTTTCCAAGTGAAAGTGAATAAAAGCTTCCAGCCATGGGAATTTATGAACTAGCTTAATAGTTTTAACTGTCCATTTCATTTTTCTACTTCAGCTGGACAGCATACTTGGTAGATTTCTTAACTGTGTTTAATAAGGCAGAAAAGTGCAAAGATTAAAATAATTGGGAGTCAGGAGTCTAGGGTTTGTGGCTTGGGTTCCTCATTAATGTGCCGTGTGACTTTAGGCACATTTTTCTGAGAGGTTGGGCCAGTTACAAGGTTTCTCACAGCTAGGAATTATAAGATGCTCCAAACCCAGAGTTTCATGAGGTATCACTAGAAGTTCTGAGAAATTAAATGTGCTTATGGCAGGCATGCTTAATAATGTGCAACTACAGTTTCTTCTAGCAATTCACTGTCACCAAAGCAGCAGACATAGAATTCATAGAGGTAGAGTTCCTGGCACAGGGGCTGCAATGGAAAATTAAAAGCTTCAAAATGTCTAGAAACTCTCATTTAGTGAGTAGAAGCCTCCTCGTTACAACTTAGCCTTAGTGTATCCAAGCAGAAGCCTGTATTTGAAGCCAAAATGTCCACTATTACTCTATTTTAAAAATTGCCTGTTCCCTCATATAGGCTTAGTAAGAATACCTAACTAATAGGGTTGGTGTGAGATTTCAATACATGCAGAGTGTTTGGAACAGTCACTGACACAGTAAACAGTATTACAAAAGTTTTCTATTATCATTTGCTTTTTTTGTTAATATCATTGCCTCAGGAATTAAACACCCTGGAGGGAAGAACAGTTTTATGTCAGGATGATAATAGCACGTCCTTCAACAGACAAACAAGGCTAGTAGTTAACATAGAACAGAAGTCCTGGCACTTCTTTGACAGACAAAAACCAAAAGCAAATGGCCCATCACTGCGTGAATGGTCTTCTGCAAATTCCTTCACACCTGCTCTTAAGTTTCTTGGTCTTGAGTTTCCAAGTAAGTCACTTGGGGACAAAGCTACTTGATTCAAAAGGGTTGAGGGTAATTAGAATGCTTTAAAAACTGTTTTAAATTCTTAGACTGATGATAATGAAACCAGGCTGTTTCTCTAAGAAAGGTAATACTCATTACGCAAACTTAGACCTATCTAACCTTCACTACTGCAACCCTTAAGTAAATCAAACAACTCCTCAGAAACATCACAACTCTTCATACCTGGAGGATTTAATCACTGGTCAAAAGGAAAGTCAACAGAAAAGATTGAAGATGACTCCAAGCAAAGCCTCCAACATGATGGCAGGTCACTATTCGAAGAAAATTAAGTACTGTCATATTCACATTTTTTGTTGTATTATTCCATCACTTTATGAAATAAGGATCATATTATGTCATTTCTTCTGAGACCAATCACTGGAATGCATTTATTGTTGAATAAATGAATGGCAGTAAGACTACTGACATTAAAGAGAGGCGTGAATGGGTACAGGGACTTTAAGGGGCTAGCGCTGTATCTCACTACAGATAGACAGGATATTGCTTTTTAATTTGCTTGTGATTCCACAGCTTGTGTCCAACTTTACTTCCTTATTTCCTTTCTGCAGCAACTCTAACTGCAAATAGTTCTTTACTGGTTCAGGAATGCAAAGAAACACCGATGATAATACATGTCACTGAAGCAGTAAGAACACTGGCTCTGTAGCTAGGTGTTCTTGATCCTGGCTCCTCTTCATTATTTACTGACTAGCAACAGAGAATTTACCATTTGTAAAATAGAAACAATAATAGTATCCACCTTGCAGAAGTGCTGTAAAGACTAACTGAAACAGTATCTGTCAAGTACTTAAGCTAGTAAGTGCCTGATGGATATCAACTATTATTTTATTCTTATTAAAAGAAGTTACAAGTTCCGAAAATGTCCATGTCACACAAAACAAAGAAAGGTTGAGGATATGCTCCAGATTAAAAAAAAAACACTTGATAACTGAGTGCAATAGTTGATCCTGAGTGCAACAGTTGATACTATACTGAAGCAAAAATGCTATAAAGGACACTATCAGTCAGTCAATACCTCTGTTAACAATATTTTAATCTATTGTCCATTGTCCAACGTTAAATATACTGGAGTTGAAATGTATTGTGCTTTTGTATTTAGGAATAAAGGGCCATGACACACACAACTTTTCCTCAAGTGATTCAAATGAAAGATAAAGAGAAAAAATAATAAAGCACATAGAGCAAAATGTGAATAGGCGAATCTGAGTTAAAGGTAGACAGCAGGGCATTCTTTGTACCATTCTTGCAACTTTATTTGTAAGTTTGAAAGTATTTCCAAATAAAAGGTTAAAAGAGAAGATGACGGGTTGAACTGAAATTTCAAGATTCAAATTCAGATCAGTCCAGTCTCTTGCAGTTTTGAAATTCTGATTGTGCCCACCACTGTGATAGCTTAAATAGCACTCTATTACAAGAACTCTTCTAGACAGTGAAATTTGTCCTGATGTCCTTTTTGAACAGTACCTAGAAAATAAAACAGAAAATAGGCCAGAGTCCTCCAGAAGAGGCAAAATAGAGAATCCTTTTTAAGAGTTCATCCTGGCCAGACGTGGTAGCTCATGCCTGTAATTCCAGCACTTTGGGAGGCCGAGGTGGGTGAATCATGAAGTCAGAAGTTCGAGATCAGCCTGGTCAACATAATGAAAACCTGTCTCTATTAAAAATACAAAAAAATTACCCGAGTGTGGTGGCATGCGCCTGTAGTCCCAGCTACTCGGGAGGCTGAGGCGGGAGAATCTCTTGAGCCCAGGAGGTGGAGGTTGCAGTGAGCTGAGATAGCACAATTGCACTCCAACCTGGTGACAGAGCGAGACTCCGTCTCAAAAAAAAAAAAAAAAAAAAAAAAAAAAAAAAAAGAGTTCATTGCTACGTGGCTTCCCTTTTCCTAAGTCTCTGGGCCATGGTTTACAACCCTCTGTGATCTTAACTCTGCCCACCTCATTCTGTAGTGCTCTCCCGCTAACCCTTCATGATCCAGATGCCATGGCTTTCTTTGAGTTCCTCAGACATGCCAAACTTCCTTTTTTGGAGCACTCACATCTGCTATTCTCTACCCCTGGAATGTTTCTCTCCTTGATTTTCTTGTGGTGGGCTCCCTGTTGTCATTCAGATTTGAAATTTAACGTCACAACTCTGAGGTGACCTTCCCTGATAGCTACACTCACTGCATCTAAGTGAGCCAGCTAGAGCTTAGAACACTGGCTGTGATAGAGCAGGAGCTCAATGAATATAGTTGCATGAACTAATTATGCCACACTCCTATTCATAAGACATCTTGAGTTTTCCTTCTTTTCTGCCTCACTGGCATTACTCATATTCCCATTATGTAGTCACTTACAGTACTACATTTGTTGTGTGCATGTCTGTCTCCCACTAGATTTTAAGCTGCTGGTAGAAGTTATGACTCTCCTCTCCAATTCCTAATGCCTCCCTCAATGCTTTTCTAAGGCACCAAAAATTCAAACTAGCAAAGACTTACAGTTCCAGGAGCTTAAAGAAACTCACTTGGAGCAAATAATAACAATAAAAGCTAACAGTCTGGGACTGCTTATTACTACCTCAATAATAAGCACTCAATAACTGCTCTATACATTTTTTATGTATTTTATCTCCTTGAATCCTCATTATAACCTTGTTAGCTGAGGTATCATTATTACCCCCATTTTATAAGATCCTGAGGTTCAGAAAGGTTACATTACTTGCCCAAGGGCTCACGGCAGGATAGAGGCACAAATCAAATCCAGGCAGCAGATCCCTAAAACCCATGCTCTCTACCAGTCCAGGATGGCTGGAGAAAATTTGGTGTGCTGCTCATTCTTTCCACTCCCACTCTGCCAAATTGATCTACCCATCACCATGTGGACACTTGCACATGTGGTAGCAAGCTGATCTTATCCTGGTATGGCTGTTCAAGTGCTAGTCTGTGAAGGGCATCGCTGAAGGAGTACATCACCCAAAATAATTCTCTATCACCCCACTACAGTGACAGAAAATCCTCTAGCAGGGAGCCATTCTTTATGCACTGCAAAATCCTAAAATCCACATATTAGCAAAAGCATTAACTGCTTACAGCAAGTACAAGTCATAAACATTTTGGAGTGAAATATTCCAATTACACAGCAGGGCCTTGAGGAATGGAACCCATCCAGGTAAGGTTAGCTCATGTGAAAAAAGAAATTTCAAGAAACATCGAGTGGGTACCATCCTTTAAGACCAGATCAAGGTCAGATGCAAGGACAAGCCTTCACATATGTGTAGTAAAGAGAAGGGAATCAGAGGATTAAGTCTGGGCTCTGAAGAAAAAAATGCAGATGATGTGAAAAACTTCCATCTTCTGCAAAATGCTGCTTTAGAATCGGTCTCAAATAGCAGTGCTAAAGTTATTCATCCACAGCAAAGCAAAAACCACGGAACAGAGGGATAGGAGCCTATACCATTCATGTAGACAATACTGGTCTTCATCAAATTAGAACCAACAAAGAGCTAGATAAAAGCCAACAAGCCAGTCACTGTCTACAAAGCAGATGTTCACGTTACACATGGCATTACAGCATCAGGGAGAAGGATTCCTAGGTACTTTTCACATTTGAAAGCCCTCCTCCCACACTTGCTGGTCTGTTTTAATACCTGTGCTTCCCCCTCTGGGGCCCTCAACCTCTCACAAACTGGCATTGAAGTTGCTTCCACACATGACTGGGTAACTTCAGCCCTGGGCCTTTTCAAACCAGGCAACTTCCACTGGCTGTCAGGGTGATGCATGAAATCCCTAGAGAAGAGAGGAAAAGGACCACGGCAGGGAGCCTCCTCAAGTGGGAATCACTGTGAAAAACTCATTATCCATGGCAGGGAAGAAGAGCAAGGTCCCTGATTGGGCTGGTGACCACGGGTGCTGAGACGCCCACTGGGGACAAGGACAACTTGTTCAGTTTCTTCACAGTTAAGGTGTAAGGACAACCATCTAAGATTTCCCAAACTTCAGTCATTTGAGTACCACTCTTCATGACTATTTCTACATCTCCCTCCTTACCTATACTAGAATTTAGTAACCACGTCTCTTTATTGCGACTAGATTTTTGCATTTATATACATTTATTTTAAAAGGAAACTCTATTATTGTGAAATTGCTTACATAATGGAACAGGTTTTCTTCATAGCGACGAAAATAAGTAACTATGTTCATCTACGTACCACCTCAAATCACTGCTATTACCCCCAGTGATGCCACCTACAGTAGCAGCTTTGGGACACACAAGCCACCCCTGAGGGTTCAGGGTTCCTGCCCATGCCCCATCGGCATTTCTCCACCTCTTCCCCTTAACAGAAGGTCCCGGCAAGGGAACGCAGCAGGAGTCTGCAGGCCCTGGCCCACGTCCTCCGGCCGCCCCTCCCCTCCCAGCAGCACCACGTTTCCTGTCAAAACAAACCCTTGGAGGAGGGGATGGCGGAGGCAGAGCCGAGTGCCGGGGAAACCACGGCAACAAATCCCCAACACACGCTGCGGGTCCCGCTCGGCCTCCACCCTGGCTCAGTTCCCCACTCCAGCCCGGCCGAGGGGTGCGGGGGAAGGGAGCGCCCCGGACCCCTGATGGTGGGAAGTCGCTGGCACCCGTCCAGCAGGATTTAAACAGCGGCGAAGCGGCCTCAGGGGCGCCAAGTCCGTGTCCGCCCCGACACCCGCGGCGGCCACTCGGTACCCCGCTCCCTGCTTGCACGCGGGACCGCAGTTCGACGTCAAAAAAGGGGACACGGAGCGGGGAGACAAGAGCTGGGAGCCAAGCGTGATGGCCCCTGGCTCCGCCGTCCCAGGACGGAGTTCCGAGACGGGAGGGAGCCCTTGGGCTGCTCGGCACAGCGCTGTCCTCTCCGCTGGCCCCGGCCGGTCCCCTCCGAGCCGGCGACGCCTCCCCCGTGATGGATACGCACCGAGTCCCGCACGCAGACAGGACAGCCACGGAGTGACCCCGAGTCAGGACTCTCTGGGCGTCCCCTCACCGAGCACAGCACAATCACCTCGGAAACTCACCGACCCAGCAACCCCCAGCTGCTGCCTCCCCCGCCACCCGACGCGGTATTTAAAGGGCACTGAGGGACTCTAGAGAGGCCGCCAGGGCGCGGCCATCACAAAACCGGAGAGCGGGGGGACAACGGCGCGACGGGGCGAGGGCATCCGGGGCCCTTCAAGCTCCGATCGCCGAGTTCTTACAGACCGAACCTACTAAAGAAATAGTCTCCGTCATGTTTGGATCAGAGAGGCCGAGGACAGCTCGGATGGGAGGTGTTTCGGCTGCGAGCGGTTACTGTACCCCCGCGCGGCTAGTGGTGCGGTCCGGGCTGCCGGGGGCGGGGAGAGAAGTGTTTACGGAACTGAGGCCGCCCCGCCGACCGGAGCGCCGAGCGTTGGGGGCGGGACCTGCCGGGGCACTGGGGGCGGGGCCGAGCGGAGGCGTTGGCAGGCGAAGCAGCCGGCGGAGCCTCTGGTGCAGCGCGGGACAGATGCCCTGGGCTCCTGGGAGCACTGGCGTGGACCACGCTGCGAGCTCCCGGCCGCGCATGGAACGTTGAATGCCTGCACACCCCTGTATGGACAGGGCAGTCCAAGCTGGGTGCCCACCACCACACTGTCCACACAGAGACAAGCCAACCAACAGCGCTGCTGCTGGGCTTTCCCACGCACGTTAGCGACTAACCGCGTCATCTCCAGTTTCGTCTACACTTCCACATAAACACGGGTCCAGATTTGCACCTGCTCGGGACGATTAGCTCCTGGGAGTCACACCCACCCAGGCCCTCTGAAGACTTGGTGTGCGTGCAAAAGATAAAGCATCTTACTTCCTTTAGGGTTCTTGGCAGCGCCTGTCTCGGGAGAAGTTTCGACGTTGGTTAATGTAAATAACCAGTCCCAGGAGGGCTTCTGTGCCGTCCGGCCTGCTGCTCAGCTCCTGCTGTGGGCGTGCCTGAGGGTGTAGAGAAACAAGCTTCCCCTAACTGCTCACATCAAAACCATGCCTTCTGCCAGGTGTAAATCGGTGCTGTGTTACTTGGGAGAGTTTCATGCAGGAACGACTTACTTGAAGTTTGTATAAAGTATTTTTGTTTAGTGCCGAAGTTATGTCTGGATTGTGGAGGCAAATTGGCCACCACCATTCAAAGACAACAACAAAAACAATAACAAAGAACAACAGGCAACATTTAAGCAGGGTAGAAAGTTGGTCAGTGGTTGCAACATAGACTCCTTTAAGGAAATCCTGGCTCTGACATTCATTACCCATGAGATCTGGGTCTCTGGGGATAACGATAGCTATTTCATTGAGTTATTGTGAAGATAAAGTAAAATAAAACGTGTGAAGTATGTAATGGTGTACACAGTAAGCACTCAATAAGTGTTAGTTATTGAAGCTATTTGGCACACCACTGTGGCCAAACTTAGCTGTGATCTATATGAATTTGTATCTGTGCCTCCTTTTGCCGCTTTCCTCTCTTCTCCTAAAATATACAACCTAATACAGGTTAAGAGATTAAATAGAAGTGCTGTCCCCGCCTGAGTGCTTCCCTACAAACATGCCCTTATTTATGTCATTTATTGGATATGGAATCAGGATGACAGAAGCCTCCAATTTCAATTCTTGTCAAATGACAACCACCACACAACTGTCATCAGCACCCTAAAAACTCCGCAATAGAAAGATGAACCCCCAAATCCCCCTAACTTCTGGTAACTCTGTGACAATGACACATGGCTGCATTACTTCCTTTGTCACTTTGTAAGGATTTAATATTGTTTTGTACTGTGACATAAGTTGGAGCAGGTGACCATGAGTCAGGGTAGTAGTTGTTCCTTATACCTGAGTGACCAGGTGCCTGACCCTAGGCATGACACTTCTTTTAAAGTTCAGATATGTAACTCTCAAAGCCACCAGGAAGCAACTTTTGTCAAAGCAAGTTCCAACATGGGCTGGGGTACAAACCTTGATGTGGAAGGGGTGGGGGTAACATCAGAGACCCAAGCTGAGATAAAGGAAGATGCTGGAAATACTATTTCTGTTACTTTAATGTTAAATAACTTGTTATCTGAAAACCTTTTGGTGAATTACCTGACCAAATGCTCTCAGCCTGACTTGTGTATAAAAACACTTTGAAAACATAGAGTGCTAGGCGGGGCACAGTGGCTCACGCCTGTAATCCCAGTACTTTGGGAGGCTGAGGTGGGTGAATCACCTAAGGTCAGAAGTTCAAGACCAGCCTGACCAAAATGGTGAAACCCTGTCTCTACTGAAAATACAAAATTAGTTGGGCCTGGTGGCGTGCTCCTGTAATCCCAGCTACACAAGAGGCTGAGGCAGGAGAATGACTTGAACCCGGCATTCGGAGGTTACGGTGAGCCGAGATTGTGCCATTGCACTCCAGTCTAAGCAAAAGGAGTGAAACTCCATCTCAAAAAAAAAAAAAAAAAAAAAAAAAAAGTGCTATAAAATATAAGGCAATTCCCTCAAAAATGAGCCTTGTATCACATTCTTGCTCAGAGAGCTCAGACAGCCATAACATAAAATCTTCCCTGCTCAGGTTATGTTCATGACTTCCTCGGAAAAAAAGAAAACAAGTCTGAAAAGTCAACCTCTTTAGCAAGTAAAATAAAATTTTATTTGAAGAAAACATATTATTACACCCAGTTTTTCTAACTTATCTTTTTTGAACCACTTACAGAACTCACAGTAATACAGCTTGTTTTCTCCCTATAAATTACATGGTAGGCCAAATTTGGTCTATCACTCTTGGGAAAAGACTAAGGGCAGATCAAAATTTTTGTTTGATGAAGAAATAGAAATACTAATTTTCTTTTTGCACACCAAAATCTGAGTTTTAAATTATGATGAATCCTTGACAAAAATCCAAAAATGTAATTACAGTTGGATTTGCAGCCTCTCGGCCTTATAACTTCTCTAGTGGAGAAAATCTTGTACATTAAATCTGATACTGATTTAATGTAATGCACATTCAGCTCTATGGGACTCAGCTAGGACAGAATATGAGGAACACAAGAGAACACTTTAAATGCTTCCAATGATCTTGCCCCCTGTTTCTCTCCCTGGCAGTTGTGAGGCTTCTCTTCCTGTGTTGATCTGAGTTTTTGAGCTTGTCATTATGTTCCAAGCTTCTTACCCACAGCTGGCTTCATGGGCGTGCAGTTTGGGCAATTGCATAAGGCCCTGCCCTTGGAAGAGCCGTGTGCTTTGTTTAATACTTTGCTGCTGTTGTGTTGAGATTCTTAATACTGTGCTTTTTGACAGAGGGGCCTTGCATTTTCATTTTGCACCGGACCTGGCAAATTATGTAACTGGTCCTGATCTCCCCACACAGAATATGAGTCTGGTGCTTAAAGGTGCTTATTTTCTTGCACTTAAGTGCCAATCAATTATTTCAACCAGTGCTCAGTTGAAGAAATTTATATCTGTTTCAATGCTGGAAGAAAAGAATCAGAAAGCCCCAAACAAAAACAACAAAAACTTGGTGTATCCCGGGTCTTATGGCTCATTTAAAATTTTTCAAGAACAATTTTGACTGCACTTTGACCTCATGCTTTTCCTTAAGAGCCTAACCTTTCATGTAAGATGCAACTTTATTGTAATTAAAAAAAAAAATGGCCTGGGTGTGGTGGCTCATGCCTGTAATTCCAGCACTTTGGGAGGCTGAAGCAAGTGGATCACCTGAGGTCAGGAGTTGAGACCAGCCTGACCAACATGATGAAGCCCCATCTCTACTAAATACAAAAAATTAGCTGGGCATGGTGGCACATTTAATCCCAGCTTCTTGGGTGGCTGAGGCAGGAGAATCACTTGAACCCAGGAGGGAGAGGTTACAATGAGCCGAGATTGAGCCATTGCACTCCAGCCTAAGCAACAAGAGCAAAACTTCATCTCAAAAAAAAAAAAAAAAAAATGGCTAGGCGTGGTAGTTCACGCCTGTAATCCCAGCAGTTTGTGAGGCCAAGGCAGGCA